AGAGCTATTAAAGGATAATATTCAGGAATTCATTGGGAAGAACTTTGTTATTAGCAATAATCAGCATGGTTTTATGAAACATAGGTCATGTCAAACTAACCTAATTGCATTCTATGAAAAAGTAAGTAGAAGTATAGATCAGGGTGTTGCAGTGGATGTGATCTACATGAATTATGCCAAGGCATTTGAGGGTTCCTCACAATAGGTTAGTCTTCAAACTAAAAGAAATTGGTCTAGATGAATATTCTTTTTCTTGGGTAGAACATTGGCTTAAGGATAAAGTACAACAAGTTGTCATTAATGGTAAATTTTTGGGCTGTACAAAAGTGGTAAGTGGTGTCCCTCAGGGTTCTGTTTTGGGACCGCTTCTATTTATCATATTTATAAATGATCTTGAAATAAGCATTGAAAGCCATGTATCAGTGCTTGCAGATTACACAAAACTTGGTAAAGTAATAAAATGTGAGCAGGATATTGCTTTGCTGCAGAGGGATTTGGATAGATTGGGGGACTGGGCACTAAAATGGCAGATTAAATTTAACGTAGAGAAATGCAAAGTTATGCAGTTCGGGGTTAAGAATGCACAACAATTTACACCCTAAATGGTAATGAACTAGGGATAACCACACACACAAGAAGGATTTGGGAATTGTTAGAGACAACAAATTAGGCAGCAATATGCAATGTCAATCTGCAGTTGCTAAGGCAAGTAAGGTTTTGTCATGTATAAATAGGGGCATAAATTCTCGGGATGAAAATATAATTTTTCCACTTTATAAATCGTTGGTAAGAAATATATCATGGCACTAGAAAAAGAGCATGTGACGAGCTACAAAATTGATAAAAGGAATGGAGCATTTTAGTTACAAAGAAAGGTTAAAAAATGTAAATCTAGTTTTGAAAAACAGCGCCTGAGAGGGGATATGATAACATTATACAAATATATTCGGGGCCAGTAGAAACCTTTATCTGGAAATCTATTCATTAACAGGGCTATACATAGGACTCAAGGTCACACATTTAGGCTGGAAGAAAGGAGATTTCATCTAAGGCAAAGAAAAGGTTTTTTTACAGTAAGAGCAATAAGGATATGGAATTATCTGCCTGAAGAGGTGGGTTTATCAGAGTCCATACAGATGTTTAAACTGCAGTTGGATAAATACCTGCAAAAACATAACATACAGGGATATAATTTCTAATTAGTGAGGTAATAGCTGATTGATCCAAGGAGACATCTCACTGCTATTTTGTGATCAAGAAGGTATTTTTTCCTAGTTTGGTGCAAAATTGGAAGCGCTTCAGACTAGGTTTTTTGCCTTCTTTTGGATCAACAGCAAAAACATATGCGAGGAAGCCTGAACTTGATGGATGCAAGTCTCTTTTCAGCTATGTAACTATGTAACTATGTAACCATGCTCTCATTATGTTGACATGAACATAAAACTGCTTGATAATGCATTTAGACCATATTCCTCCAAAGGAAGTATTTTGGAAGATGAAGAGACATCAGACAATAAGCCAGAGAAAATTCATTACAAAAGAAAGCAGTATTATGGATTAACGTCTCTACCCATGTCTCAGTTTACCTGATCTGCACTGATTTCCAAACTGACCTGGGTACCCCTTTTCTTGGTTATATATAATTGGTGATTTAAGGTATTCTCACATGAAGTTTGTCATATATATATATGAAAATTGTGGAGTAAATTTTGTTAGAAATTGTGTTAGAATGGCAGACTTGAGTAAATCACACTGAGATAATGAAGTAGGGAGTTATAAGGTAGAGCTTACTTATTGACTTTGTATCACGTGATTGTTCCAATATTTAATGATATATATATGGATTTTCTTTAGAACATAATTATACAATTGATATTTTTTGTTGTTGGGTTTATTGGATTGAAATGCTGTTACTGAAGTAAAAAGTTGAATGTGAAAATTTGAAGTTACTGATGTGAAAAGATAAGCTTTATTTGATACATTGTTGAGCACATTTGGATGTAAAACTAAATGCTACACTTCTTACTTTCACATTGCTTTTTGATGTGGTAGTTTGTAAAGAGATGTCACACAAAGTGTGTTAGCAGGTAATACTGAATACATGTATTGTACATATAGTTAGAAATTAAATAAATAATTTACTTAATCTTTTTAACCTGGTGCAAAAATTTGTGTTGCAGCTCATTATTATTATTATTATTATTATTATTATTATTATTATTATATTGACAATATTAGAGGAACACACATCATTTAAATAAATATTAATATAAAAAATAAATAAATAAATATATATATATATATATATATATATATATATATGTAAAAACAAAAATAATCTGAAGTAAAACTCTTTAGATTACTGCCCATCCCCACTGTGGCAATGCAAGGGTTAACACGAATTAAACTCACCCTTATTCTATCTCCAGGAGAGTCTCCTCACTGCAGCTCCAATCCAGATCGTGTGAAGTCATTATTAGTAATGAGTTGTATCCTGTTAGATGCTTCATACAGAAGCAGTGACACCAATTGTTCTCTAAAAGACGATTGATTTCTGCTTTGAACTAGAATGTGTTTCTAATTATTTTTACTGAAGCAAATTGAAGTGCTTCAAGGGATAGGAGTGTCCTTTCTTTTACTGTATACATATTTTGGACTAGGGTATGATATGATAAAATTCTAAGACAGTGAAAAAAAAAAGAAATTAAATAGTGCTAATATGTTCTTATGAGAACAGCGTTGCAGTGTCACATAAAATATTTATTTTACATTGTGCACATTTGACCACCTTGTGTGTGCAATTAAGTAGATCGTGTCTACAAGACAGTACAGCTTGCCCATGGGATAGTTAACTTGAGCACACGCTTCGAGTATTTAAAAGCCTGTATGGAGCCCAAGGTAGGCACTTACAGGCATGCCGGCACCGGTGCCCACAATAAAATGATATCATGCACACAATTTAGTAGATTGTGCATGAGTTAAATATATCAAACACAAAATAGTTAAACCATGCACACAAGTTACCCTTCTCTTGGGCACATGCTTCTGCATCTCACACACAAGTCAACACACCATGCTCACAATGTGATATGAAGTTATCTTCTGAAAGGTATTGCACCATATTTATGAACAATAAGAAGTAAATATATGCCAGGGATTGATTTACTGTAAATATTGGCAATGGTAACAGGTTCGCTTTAACATATTTATCTCAATAAATGAATGTCTTTACAATGAAAAATCACAAATCACTGTCTGTCTTAAACTATACATCATTTTATCATCATGGTATTTTTTTTCCCCACAGGCAATGAATTTCATAAACCAGACCACTGTCACTGAGATTATTATCCTTGGATTTCAGGATCTACTATACCTTAAGACATTATTTTCATTGTTCCTTCCTGTTTTTCTTTTTGTGACCGTTTGCGGAAATATTCTGATTATCTGGCTAGTGGCCTCTAACAGCAGTCTCCAGTCTCCCATGTATTTCTTCCTAACACAACTGTCCATTTTTGATTTACTTGTAACGGCAACCATTGTCCCAGAAACCCTTTTTATTATATTTAATGAAGGTGGTACTATGTCTTTTTCAGGTTGCCTTATTCAGTATTATTTTTATGCTTGCACTGTAGGCTGTGAATGTTTTCTACTGTCCATAATGGCTTATGACAGATATCTGGCCATCTGTAACCCTCTGAGATATAGCTCTTTAATGAACGCTACGTTACGTGTTACATTGGTTATCATCACTTGGCTATTCAATCTTTTCACATCATTAATTATACTAATATCAGTAATTCAACTTCAGTTTTGTGGCCCAAATGTTATTGATCATTTCTTTTGTGATATTTTCCCATTATTAGAACTTTCTTGTTCGGACATCAGGTTACTTGAAATGGAAGTTCTTATATTGTGTGTACCAATAGGTATTACTCCACTCATAAGTATTATAGTATTTTATGTATGTATTGTCCAGGCTGCCCTTAGGATTTCCACCACAACTGGAAGATCAAAAGTCTTCTCCACTTGTAGTTCCCACCTCACTGTGTTTTCCATTTTCTTTGGCACTCTAACTGGAATTTATATGATTCCAACCAAAAATAAATATTTGACTGCCAATAAAGTTGCTTCCTTGTTATATACTGTGGTGACTCCTATGATTAACCCAATCATATACAGTCTGAAGAACAAAGATATAAAGGATGCCGTGAAGAAAAACATTGTTAAAATTAATAAATACATTTAAAATGTATCCACAACATATTTTTTCATCATGTATGGTGGTTTGCTTTAATTAATTAATAAGGCTCAATGATGCAGGATATGACCAAGTAGGTGAAAAAAATGAAAGTTTTTTTATTAAGGAGAATACAGTCTAATCTTTATAATTACAAGAATGTTACAGGAACAAAGTAATATATAACTGATTAATGCAGAAAATCAACATCCAGGCCTATAATGGCTGAGAAGGCATTTTTTCAGGTTTGCCACAAGTCTTACATTATTCAGGAAGGTTCCTACACAGTGCATTTACTCGTAGGTGAGACTTCTGGCAAAACTTCAAAAAGTCCCAGCTTTTATAATCATAACTAGTTTATATAATTTAGATTTGCGCTTGTCATACATGCGAGAGTACAGTTTCTCAGGTACACAAGA